AGTTTCATTGGAAACATACTACATAAATAGAGGTACTAAGGTACTAAGCCTGATTGTGCCCAGCAGAAAGCCTCAGTGACTGGACACTTCTCAGCTGAATTGACTCTGGCCCTGAAAAGAAATACCATCCATGTGTGAATTTATGGGCTGCTGTGATGAGGGTGGTAAAAAAAAAAAAAAAAAAAAAAAGAGACTAATTAAGTGCAGAAAGACTTATTTCCCTATGAAGTCTGCACACTTGAAGCCAGGAAATGCAAAAGTTCAGGTCCTGCTAGTTACCTTGCATTGCCCTTGTGCAGCATTTTACAGCTTTCAGGTCAAGTTACCATGTTAGTAATATTAGTAATTACCAATATGCTTAGCTGTGTATACAATGGGATGTTGTTGGGTTTTTTCACTTCATGAAAGCTGCCTTAAACATTGTCTGACACTCACGTGCAGCCCCCTGTGTGCCTGGGGACACTGAAGGCAGAACTCCCTGCTCTGCACAAGGCAGCGTGGAAGGTTGGGATCCTGGTACTGAGAGGAGACTGAAGGGTGTGTGGGTAGAGAAGTTTGGATAGAGGGTCAGGTTTATGCCCTGACGAATATCCCACCTTCTGTCAAAGCTGAGTTTATATTTACATAGAAGCATTCAGCAGTTCTCTTGGTGCTGTGCAAGCAGAACAGTATTTACCACAGAGTGTGCAGCATTAAAACCAAAAGGGTGTGAGGCCAATTCAAACCTTTGGTGTCTGGAACCGAAACTTTTGCATTTCTCAGCAGACCTAAGCACAGTGCTAACAGCTCTTCTACTGAACTCGTTACAAGATTTGAATTTGCTTAATCAAGTAACTCCATGCTATACAAAAATGATACTAAGGATTTTCTCCAACTGTACCGTTTAGCTGTGTTGTAAGCTGGCAATTTGTTGTTGTATTAAATGGCTGTTGGTTCACGTGTGTCATTATCTTACAGCACCCAAGCCGTGTGACAGGAAATGACGTGCACACTCGTGTGCGTTTGCTTAGAGCCTCCATCCTGCACACTCGTGCACCTGAGTGCAGTTATTCATTTACATTTGCAGCAGTTGAGTCTATGCAACAAAATGCGCTCACCTGGAAAAAATTGTGGAGGCTTATTTTCTTATCTTATGAATTTCTCTGCTGGCACCACTAAGAACATCCTCTATTTCTGCTTTATAATAAATTATACAGATTTAACACTAAAGATACCACTTTACTTATGCTAAGAAACTAACCTCTATTTTGTGGCTTCTGTATTTTGGGGCTGGGGGAGGAGGAACATACATCTAAACTGATAACTGCACTTGTAGAGTCAACAGCATTTAGAGCTTATCTGAAGCTTCCATAGCAAAACTGCTTGAGATTTTGCAATGACTTCATCTCTAATAACATTTTGACATGCACTCCCATCAGGCTTCACCGCCTTGGTTTTTGTGGATGCCAACAGATTTTTTTGCTCTGTGTTTTGTTGTGCTGTGTGCTGTGGCGGGCGTGGAGGTATTTTCAAGATGGTAAACAGTCTTCTTTCTTTTCCCTCCTCTCCCTCCTTCCTCCTTCCTACTCGGAAGGTTTAGTTTCTTCTCTCGTGACAAGAAACGTATGCAGGCATCGCAGAAAAACGTCCATTTCCAGGATACTTTTCGTGAATGGTCAAATTCAAATAAAGATGACACCTACACAGAGCAAGGACAAGAAGCCCTGCAACACCTGTGACTAAAAGCCTGAGCTTCCTGCAGAACATCTCAACAGTGTAGTAACAAGAAGCTTCTGTGAACAGATCTGGCAGTTCATGGTCTTTATTTGCCTTGCACACTGCAGTGGTTGTGTTCCAGATGAACTCCTCAGAAGGGATCACTCACTGTTTACTTGGTGACTGCTGAAAAAGGAATCCAAGCTTTGTAGGAGCAGTTGATACCCGGGGACATTGAAGCTTCTAGATGACTTGTTTTGTGCTGAATAACAAGTCTATGGTCTTGTTTGTGCATTAACTACAGTAACACAAGATTATCTAAACCAAAAAAAAAAGACCTGTGCCATTATTAGAAGTTTGTTTGCGGTGTACAATATCTATTGGCAAAGACTCTGTCACCTTATTTGTTAAAACTTTTGGTTGTTTGCTTTTTTGTAACTTGGTAAGAATTTTTTCAAGAGGGATACCACAGCTGGCCGCTCTCCCTGCAGATTGTAGCACTGCTGTGTCCTGTCAAGTTCACTCCTGAATTTTGCAGAGTAACCCCTTGGAAATCCATCTGATAGAAAGTGACAAACTGGAGTAGCCTCAAGAGGGATAAGGAGCGTACATTTCCCTTGATGCTTACAGTGCCTAAAGCATGAAGAAACCCACGTGTGAGGTGAGCGTGCCTTGCTTTTTGCCATGAGTTCTGCAGTAGTAATGGAGAAAGAATTGCTTACAAGGAAGAATTCTAACACTTGAGTTTTTTCTTTCTTACCAGAGACTTTCCCCTAGAGTAGCAGACAGCTGCCATAAAGGAGTTAGGTCCCCTTCCCATAGGCAGGTTTTGATTTAAGTCACACTCCACTTTTCTGTCTAGGTAAGACTGCCTAACTTCAGAGTAAAAGACATCCTCAGCTGACATGAGCTATCTTAACTGACTCTGAGATGACCCCAGCTCAAAATGTTTTCTTTTTTCTGACTACCCTAAACATTACTTAGGCTGGCAGAGATGTGTTCTGTATGTGCAGGTTGCTCCGCTGGCATTGACTGATGTGTGGGCAGCCAGCAAGCGGAGGAGCTTAACTCCTAACTCACCATCAAAAGCCCAGCACGTGAATGCATCTGAACTGGCAGGAGGTGGGGTCTACATCTGCTTTGCAATTAATCATGCAAGACCCTTGGGGCTGACCAAGGTCATGCTTGCCTAAACCAGAACACTAAAGCCCCACGCAGCATAATTACTACGTGTGCACGGCCTGTGGCAGTGCACAACCCAGCTTTGCACCTGTGGGCAACTTGTGCAGGCAGAGCTGGATGCAGGTGGCTGAGGATGTCCTGAAGAATACTTAGATAACCGCAAACCAGAAGGTTTAGTGCAGGCCAGTTGTACTCAGTCCAGGATGATCCAGCAACGGGTTTGTTAGTGCATACAGGCAGCAAATCCAGGCTCTTAGCTCATCTGATGTGAAGCTGTGTGAGAAAATCAGTTTTCACAACAGTGGGCTGAATGCTGCTCTGCTCCTGTGTGTAACTGCTCATGTTGAACACAGACCTTCAGCACATCGTAGGGTGAGCATTTACTGTGCCTGCCAGTTGTCACTGACATGGCCTGGGGCAGGAGGGAGAAACGTGGCCTTATGTTAAAGGCATTTCCATTTGATGTAGCAACAGTAGCATTTGATGCTAGTATTAGGCAGAGAGAATTTTGCCTGGTTACGTTTTGGTAACACTTCTTAAGTTTTTATGCTTACAGAAAACTTTTCATTAAAACATCACTTCCCTCCCTTGCATGAAAGGCCATTCTCAAACAGAGGGAAGACTTGCTGTAATACTTTAGTTGTGAAGATCCTGATTTCACTTTCAGATTGAGCGGGGAATATAAAAAAGCACACTATAGTTGTAGGCAGTTCAAATAAATTGTGAATGATTCCCATCTCTCTCTAGCATAGTTTACAGTCATTTGACACATTGAGAGATTTAGAGATTCAGTGAACAGAAACAATGAAAGATGCAGCAGATTCACAGCCTGAATAAGCACATCACTTTTCAAATTAAGCTAAGTGCAACGAACTGAGACAACAGAAAGACAGGCTGAGCTGTTTTCCCCCAGCATCTAAGCTCATATATTAAAAACCAGCTGTCCTGGCCTAGTGCATGTAAAGCTGGTCCCACACACTAGAGCCCTGCGCACTATTGTTGGGTCAAATCCGCAGCCAATTTCAAACAATGACACTAAGCAGTACAACCTTCCCCTATTTATCTGAGCCCATTACCTCAAAAATCTAATTAGTTACTCCTGCTAGCATTAACCACTCCGCTCCTCGTCCTCATGTTAGAAACACCAAGTTAATACACATTAAGCTGCCATCAGAAAGGATGGCAAACAGGGATGAGTTCGTAAAGGGTTGAAGACCTATCATGTAGATTCTCAATATTTAGCTAAAATCTGCTTGTAAAAAGGAAGGCAGGATGTTGGCAGGTAAAGGGCGTAACAATCCTGTCTCCAAAGCGCAGGATCACTGAAGTTGTTTTGGGTTTTTTTTGTGTGTTTTTTTGTTCTGTTTCGGTTGGGCAGTAAATCATTTTAACAGTTTAATAAATATTTCTGAGAAATGAGCATTTCTTCAAGACTTGCATCTTTTTTTTTTTTTCCTTTGTGTGGAATGCTAACACCACCTGCTTTGGGGGCGCACTGCGCAGATCTGGCTTCTTTCCCCTGAAAAAGGGTTATGTCACTGCTCATGGATATACAGCCTCGAGCTGGGCCAAGTTGAGGGTGCAGCTATTCAAAGGCTGACAGAAGTACAAGTTAAAATGCAGACAGGATTTTACCTGCAGTGAGGAGGAAAGGACAGTGGATGCAGCTGCGACCACATTTAACCATGACATTGTCCTTCAATGATTGCTTATCTATTGATCAGGAATGTGGTTTTTTTCCTCCTTACTAGTCTGTAGTCTGCATTCCTCTAATAAGAGGTAATAACAATTCCCAATACATAAAAAATTGATTTCTTACTACATGCTTCTCTCACACCTCGCAGAACTACTTAAGGACATAATATTACTACAGATCTCACCTGTCCCAGTGTCCTCAAGAAAATAAAGTAACTTCCTTTCAGCTTCTGTTTTGGGTCACATGTTTCAGAAGTTCAGTTTGTTGCTATTGTTTCATTCCTATTTCTTCATAAAGTGACTTCATAAAGGGCATCTATCTCACAAAATGAGAGGGGGCATCTGGCACACTAAGAATGAAATATGGAGCTCTCTAATGAACAGTGATCCCAGCAGCAAAATGAATAGCAAATGAGGTGAGCACTCAATTTTGATGGGATGGTAACGTGCATTTCTTATTCACCACTTTAAAATATTAATAGAAACGTTTAATTTCTCTGAAGAACAACTGCACTAGGAACACACTATAGAGAGCTTCTAGCAGATAAAAGTCAAAGGCACAAGACAATAACATGAAACTGCTCGTTTGAGTAACGCAGCTCTCAGCCCCATGCTGAAGGTAGGTGACACCTACAACAGAGTCGTGTCCACATCCTCCAGAAGGCGCAGCGTTTTCCTGCATCATCTCCATAGCAGTTCATTCACCATGACAGCAGAGGCATGCCCCCAGGCATTAAGGGCAGTACTGCGTGTCTCACACTACGGAAAAGAGTAGTCACCATACTCAAGCTCCCCATCGTTCCCTTAAGACAAGGTGCTGCCAGCTATCGATACTTATCATCATCTCTTTGCTTCTTGGCATCTCTTTCCCTGCTCCGGTCTCTCTCTCTGTCCTTTCTGTCTCTGTCCTTCCTCTCTCTCCCTCTGCTCCTCTCCTCTTTTGAGTCTCTTTCTCTCTCGCTGTCAGCCCAACCCCACGACCGCTCTCTTTCTGGCCCTCTCTTCTCTCTGCTCCTTTCATGCTCTCGGTCTCTTGTTCTCCAGTCCCTTGCTCCCTCTCGAGACCAGTTTCTTTTCTCTGCCGAGCCTTCTCCATAGAAATCATTTTTCACATTTGGCAAATTAATGGGTTTCCGGAAAGGTCTGTCCCGTCCTCCGAACCGCAGCTGCCCGGATTCTTTTTTGCCTCCAAAACCTCCTCCAAGCCTCCGAGGAATCCATCCTTTGAGAGTTCTTTCCAGTTCGAAGTCTACAAAGACCTCATGCTGATCGACAACCAGCCTGTTGGCATCTCTATGGGCCTTCAGCAGAGCGCGTTCCTCCTTGTACTCGATAAACGCATAGCCCTTGGAAAATCCCGTGACCAGATCTCGAACCAGACGGATCTTTCTGATGTCTCCGTATCGGGAAAAGACCTCCTTTAATTTCTCCTCCGTCGTCTGCAGATTGAGCCTCGCTACGAACAGGGTGAGGTGAGGATCTCCGGTGACGCCCTTGTTGGGGACGTAACGCGCCAGCATGGCCCTCCACACGGCACGGTCGTGGGGCTCCTCATCCGTGCCGTCGATGCTCCCCGCTTTCAGGGGGTCGTACTCCTTCGCTATGGGCGCCCAATCGTTCATCGCTGGCGAGAAAAGAAATCAAATTAGACACAGCTCGCTGCTGACGTTTTAGAAAGGTAAACAGGCGGGGGGAAGCGCTTCCCGGAGCGCAGCGATCCTCACAGAAACCCTCCGGAGCGAGAACCGGGCGCGGCCCCGCCGGCCCCGCCTCAGCAGCCGCTCCCCGCGCGGCTCCGCAGCCCTTCGGGATCTCGGGCCTCACACGGACAGCGGAGCCGCCATCGGAACCGCTCCGTTCCCGCCCTCGCGGCTCCCTCCCCACCTCTCACCTCTCCTCACGGCGCGGCCCCTCGCGCCGCCAGCTGACACCGAGCCGAGGGACGCCGCGTTCACTTCAGCCGCTCCCCCCGACCCTCCCGGCTCCTACACGGCTTTCGGCAGCCGCGGAGCAGAGCCGCACAGCGCCGGACGCGCTGACGTCCCGCTCCGCCCAGCTTCGGAGGCGGTTCCGGGGCGGGCACAACGCGGCTCCGCCCGTCGGGAGCCCCAGGGCGGGGCGGCGCCGGGCCGCGGCCCCTCGATGGAAAGCGGCGGGGTTCGCTCCGCCCGCGGGGTCCGGCCCTGGGGAAGGAAGTTGGTAACGGGCCGCGGACATGCGGCGCGGCGGGGAGGGGGAGGAGGAGGAGGAGGAGGAGGAGGACGGGGAGGAGGACGGCGGCCCCGAGAGCGCGCTGCAGAAGAGCCCCTTCCAGCTGACGGCTGAGGATGTCTACGACATCTCCTCCGCGGTGGGCCGGGACCTCCTGCAGCTCAGCGCCGGCACGGAGGCGCCCGCCGCCGCCGCACGGCTGCAGTTCAGCATCGTGCGGGTGCTGGAGATGCTGGAGGCGCTGGTGAGCGAAGGCAGCCTGAACGAGGAGCAGCTGAGGATGGAGCGGGACAGCCTGCGGGACGAGCTGGAGGCGCTGCGGGGGCGCGGGGCGGCGGGGAGCGGCCAGCAGGTGGGTGGGGAGAGCAGCGCTTCGACGCTTTGAAACGAGACTTCGCCGCCCGGTGGGCGCTGCTGCGATAGGGATACAAACAGAGCGTGAACAATAGCAACTGACTGCTGGGGAAACAGATCGGGGTGGTGAGGAAGGGATGCTCGTTGTAACAATCGCAGTGTGTTTGTAACATAGGATCGTTAAGGTTGGTGAAGACCACGGAGATCACCAACACATCACACCTTGCCCACCAACAGCATCACATCCCCACAGCTTCTGAGCTCCTACAGGGATGGTGACCCCAGCACCTCCCAGGGCAGCTGTGCCAGCACTGACGACCCTGTGGGAGAAGATTCTCCGAATACCCAGCCAAATCTCCCCTGGTGCAACTTACCTCCCATCCTGCTGTGACCGGTTACAAGATCACATCCCCTACTTTACATCTCTTATTTTGCAGCCCAACTTGGGACCAGATAAAATGGTGATAGACCTCACAGATCCAAATCGGCCTCGGTTCACATTACAGGAGCTGCGAGATGTGTTGCAGGAACGTAACCAGTTGAAAGCTCAACTTCTCGTGGTGCAAGAGGAGCTGCAGTGCTACAAAAGGTATATGGTGTGGTCAGCAAAGAACAAGCAACATTTACTTCTTTCTAGGGAGCTTATCAGATGATGGCATTGCAGGTTTGAGCACCTAAATTGAACTGGGTACTGTCCAACCCTAGAAGAAAAGACATCTCTGCTCCCAAGAACCTACAAATGAGCAAAGAAAAGTGTGGGAACGATGAAGCTTCTATGCAAAATTTTAAGACTGAACTGCCTCTGACTTCATGCAGTTAGCAGCCTTTTGTAATAACTGTCCCCCTGAAAACCTACGTGTGGTTTCTACATCTCTGTATACAAGCTGAGTTCTCATGCAGAGAAAACCTGCAGTTAGAGCAGTTGCACACACTGCTCCTGTCTAAAGCCACGCCACTTACCGGAACATCAGGGGGGTTTCCATTTTGTTGTAGTAGAAATTTACTTCCTCCTCCAACTTGCTGCGAGTGCAGATGGGGTTCCGCTAGCATATCTACTGTTCCTCTGCTCCCAGCATGCGTATGGCATTAATGTAGAACGCAGCCTGTTGAGCCCTTCTGCTATCATTGAAGAGAAGCATTTTTTGTTTTGTGTTGTTGTTTGTTTGTGGTTTTTTGTTTTTTAAGAATGCCAACAGCTACAGTTCCTTGCACAACTCCGTGCTGACTAAGTTTCTTCAGAGCAGAATCTCAGTCTTTCTGGAAGGGAGCAGCTTGGGAGAGACGAGAATCAGGAAGGGTCTTCCTTTTGTGCTACAAACTGCTTCACCTCCAAGGCTGTTTTCCTCTCCCACCTCTGCCCCTCATGCTTCTGGCTGTATTATATGATCTTTGGAGCAATAAATTATTTTTTAATCTAGACTCACAAAGTTTGAGAAGTAGGGATTTCATCTGAGATAACAAAGCAACAAGCTCTTAGACTCAACAACGCTGCCCTTTGCCTTGTTTGTAACAAGTTAAGTCAAAGTTAAAGTTAAATCCAAGAAGTCAGTTTACAAACTGTCTGCACAGCTGCAGTTCTCCCATAGCAGTGAGGCAGCAGCTTCCCCATCTTGGCCAACTACCTTCACTGTGCAACCACTGGAATAGCTTCTTGTCTGTGATTTCTCATGTGTGACACATAGCTTACTACAGGCCAAGTTAAAAATTGGTAGGAAAGTTTAAAATGTGCTGTTAATGACCCAGAGCTTTGTTCCAAGACGGAGTGTAAATGCTGCTTTGGGGTTCAGGTAATTTTATACAGAATTACAGGATAAGCCAAAAGCCACCTTCTCTCACATCCCAGACTGTGCACTGGACAGCAATACTATACTAAGCTAGCGACAAAAATAGCAAAACCAAACAAAATCCACTTCTCTTATCAGTGGGATCATCTCACAGAGAAAGGATGAGACTAAAGAACTGGAGAAGGGACCCCACGGCAGCAGAAAGGACAGCAGTGAGAAGACAATCGTCAAACGGCTGTAAGTTTGTCTACTTTTTTTTTTTATGTTGTTTTAGCAAAGCATGAGATGAGGACACACTGCACACACAGTGAATCCAGGGGGGAATTCTGAACTTCGGCCTACTTGGCTGGATATTTTTTTCCTCCTCCTCTCTATAAGATTCGAACGTGATAGAGAAATCCTTTTCTGTTCAAAAAGCAATCGACAGGGAGGCAAGCTCCACCTAGGGAAGCGGGGTGACACTTTTTTCTACAGAGTCAGCATTTCAGAACAAAACTATGCAACCTGGGACCTGTCAGCACATTAAGACTCATGATTGCTGTCCCTGGGGGTTTGTTTACACTGCGTGCAAGCAGCTGCATGCAGCATCCACAAGCTCAGGTCACGTCCTTAAAGATCCCCAAAATAGCAGAACACACCGAGATGGCAATCACACAGCACGATCCTTCTTCTCCATTTGTATTTTTCTTTTGCAGGTTCTCTTTTAAACACGGAAAATGAACATTCTTGAAAACTTGCCACTTCTGTTCAGAAATGGCCCCAGTGAAAGCATCTGAAGGAGCAAGGAGTCAAGAACTGGAGAACAAAGCATCACTCTTAGTGGTAGAGAATAAGCAGTCTCAGAACAATTGTTGTACAATATTCTTTCAGAATAAGCTTTACTTTGCTTTTTTAGCAACCGTTTAACATATGTACACTTTTTGCATTGTTGGATTCCTTTCAGACATTACTTGTGGAAAAAAAATAAATGTTTCTATATAAAGGTTTTGTTTGTTCTTATTAAGAGAACCTATGATGGAAGCGTACTCCTGTACACTGACCTTGTGTACATCCTGGAGTAATCAGCTCAAAGTGATTTTATAAGATTAGGATGTGTTATTTTTTTTAAAGATATGTGACATCCACGTGCCTTCACAGTGAAGTGCTGGGAAAGAATTCCAGCTGACCCCTCACTGATATGACATGAAAAGTAATTCCCCATCTTATTATTAACCAAGTGCTTGAAAAAAGCCCCCACAGTGCTTGTGCTCTTTCTTTGCATTAACTGGGCATTCACAGGAGTGGACTTTTAGGATTGGGATGGAAGAAACTAGCACAGCAAAGGAAGAAAAGCTGTTGCATCACACTCTGATCACATCAAGGACTGGTATTATTTCAGAGGTGCAAACAAGCTTCAACTGGAATAGATGCATCAAACATTTTACTTTCAAAGGGTTTTCTGGCCTAGACAGTTGTCTTTTTCACAAGCTTTTTTCCCCTCTAATTAGCAGATACAAGCTGTTGTTGCTTAAGTTAATACATATTTGTCACTAGTAGAATCATAGAGGGCAAACAATAGAAGAAAAGCTTCAAAATACCAGTTAAAATTTCACATTTAGAAAAGCAGAATTTCAAGAGCAATAGAGTGTGAGCAGACATAAAAAGAGCAGTGACAGGAATCAAGCTATGATCTGACACTCCTTAGAAGTGAAAGCAAGATCTGAAGTCTTTTGATTCCCTCCTGCATGTGAACAACATGAAAGGTGCAGGGCACCTCACACATCAGCTCATGCACAAAGCAGATGAGTCTTTGCAGATGACAGAAACTGCAGTTTCCTTTCAGACAGAATTTATGAGCAACTGTACACCAGCGAGACAGATGTCTGGCCTGGGTAGGCTGGTTCACAGTTAATGCAGCCAGTGCACAAAACTCGAATTTTACCATCTCTGACACACTAATGAGGCTTGTTCATGTATCAGAGACATTCTCTAGAACACAGGAGGAAGGAAGGAATTCAATGCATCTTCTGGAGAGAGTTTATGTTTAGAGGGGGGGAAAAAAAAACTGCATCTGCAACAGCCAGGACACATCTCTGAAAGACTGAAAGATGTTTCCACGTGCTCTGAACAGCCTCTTCCTGTGTGGTTCATCCTAAGATGTATTTTACAGTCTCACAGAAGGGAGGCAAACTACACCTAAAACCACAGTTCTCAGTTCTACCGTACCTTAAGGAAACAGCTTCAAGTAACAACAAAGCGCACAGATCAAGTAGATGCATGTAAGTGTACCAGCTTGGCAAGGAGGTACAGGCTGTAGCACAGCCCAGGACCACTCCTCATTGGCAGGTAGGAGAGGAAACAGTGAATGCAATTGTTCTTTTCAAGTTACCACTGGCTACGTTCTTTAGTGAAAACAAGCAGCAGGAGTTCACCAGTTAATGTAGACAGGAGACCACCACAACCTTTTGGGGCTATTCTTTTTCTGGCACTCAAGTTGCATGCAATCGGGTGTGGAGAGAAGCTGTGCATCTCTTCTCACAGAAGGGAAGCAAACTATGGCCACAATAGAAGAGCCTAGGGTCTTGTTAGAGCAACTATGCTGCCTTCAGCAAAGACAAGCAAAGAAGTTTAACTCCCAAGCCCAGGGCACCTTTCCCTGCTAAGTGCTTTACATCTCGTTAGAAGATGAATCTCCTGTAAGGCACGAGGATAAAAATCATAGCTTCATGTTCCTCTGAGAAGTATTATAGACACAAGCATACACACACACACACTGCTCCTACCAAAGCAAAAGACACCCTCAGTGCAACATCAGCTTTATTACTATCTTCTGATGCAGTGCTACTTGATTACCAGTTAAGCATTTCAGAAGACAATTTTTATGTAAAAATAGGGAGATTCTCCCTCCTTGTTATTTACAGAAGTGACGCCAAAGCACAGAGATGTTAAGCTATTTAATCTGATAGAGAACAAGCAAATTCTTAAACAAAGAACAAGAGGAAGCATTTGATTTCCAATTTTGACTGAAGGGAAGCACTCTAGTACAACAGATGCTACAGCAATGTACAGTAGTATCCTGTTCTTGATACCAGAGAGAAATCACTGCCAACTAAAACAAGACAGTGAAAGAAGCTTACCTGGAACTCCTAACAAGGTAACAGATCTCCAGTTAATTCAGAAATTGTGAAAATACAAAGGCTCTCTCTGCTGAGCTGGCCTGGTGCTAAATGCTAAATAACATCAAGCAGTTAATGGCTAATGATTTTCACAGCTTTCTTTCAAAATGCTAATGATCTGCAATGGAGACACAGGTACTATAACAGCCACTTCATAAATAATAAATATATTCTTTATTTTACAGAGAACGTCGTCTTCAAGTTTTTCATTTAAAAAATACATCACTTTGCCACCTCTCTTGCTGCTGGAGCATACAACCACGATGTTGCTATCTGACCTATCACACAGGCAAGCGTGCAAGGCTGTCCTAGAGGGCATTAGCTGGAGCAGCTGCAGCCTTCAAGACACGGAGGGAAAAAAAGACAAGCAGAGCCACAGATCCCTTGCTGACATCTTCCAGCAGCAAGCACGACAAATGGCTCACAGCCATCTTCGTCTACACACATGCCAAGCCTTCCTTGGCAAAAATTCTAATTGGTAAGAACTCATCTTTAACATAAAGGACCTGCATTGTATATTGCCCGCCCACGTGACAGATTTGGTGACGTTAAAAACATCTGCAAGATGCTAAGCACACAGCTCCCATTTAAGACAGTGGGCCCAGACCATGCTGGACAGACCTAAAGGACCAGGCAATAAGGAATATACCTTTCTTCATTGCACAAACACCATCATTACCATTTGAAGCTGCATATAAAGATGACTTACAGAACCACTATGCTCTACTTCAAGCATTCACAGTAAATAAATAACTTCTGATGGAGCTATAAATAGCATAGGAAGGTAATAAGAGGTTTTTTTTGTTTGTTTTGCTTCTTTAAAACCCTCTAGGAATCACCGCCAAGAATCAGTCATCAACTATAAAAAGATACCATCCCAAATTTTAGAAAGTTGTCTCCAACGTTGATTCTCTCATAAAGTTAAATTCCTACATTTTTAATCAGTATCAACCCAGCCTATCAAAATCCATCTTTGTCTTGGAGTCATTTCTCTGAAGAAAAGCCAGTATGCCCATCCATTTCCCTCAGCACAAGTGCATCTGAAGTTAATCACTAATGAGACACCACAGAGGGGGAAAAAAAAAAAGAACCCTACCACAAGTTATTTGAGAATGATAGAAACAATAGCATCCATTATAAAAAAAATCTTTGCAAGAAGTCTAACAAGTAGTCAAGCCACTGACATAGGAGTCAGCATAAAAAAAAGCACATTTGCTGTCATAAAGCTAATGTCAAGTTCACCACCCCAAAAATTGGAGTATAAGACTTCACTGCAGATGCAGAAGCACAATCCAAATGATTAAGTTCCAATCTGTGCAAGTCTTCACATGCTCAGGTGGCAGTGGTCACTATGCAGGAGGGTTCTGATTTCTAGGGAGGGCTTCCTTTTACAATACAGAAGTTCTGGCAATCTAAGAGAAAACTTGAGCCTGCTTGGAAATCTGTAATAGGAATTTAAATACTGCAAAGTAAAAACGTAGTTTTCAAAGAGCTCAGAACCATAAGCAGTTCACTAAGAAAGCTGAGGGAAGCGAGGATGGAGAAGAAAATCCACTGACTCCTTGCAGAGCACTCAGTCTCCACCACCTCCCCCAAAAAACAACCTAAAGCCACACCCAGAAGATGAAGAATTAGTGTTTTAGCCATGGATGAGCTTCAATGGAAGCCTTGCTTCTGTCTCCATAGTCATACAACAGTTCTTCACCTGCTTTAATGTCTCTGGAAGCTATCAATATGAGATGAGGCACACCATCAATGTCATGAAGCTTTGTTTGACAATTGCCACATTTGCTGTGATTAATCAGTCTTCCCAGACGATTAGTTTCTTTTGTAGCATCAACACTGGAAGAACAAGAACATTTCATGCACAAATCATATTAAAGGACAAGAAACAAAGTGCAAACTAGATAAAGAATTAGGAATACATACAAGGCTTGGAAATTAAAATAGAGAAGTTGTCTGTGCAATGGCTTTGGAAGAACTGAAGTTTAGGGTGAAAAAATAAAAAAGAAAAACCACACTGGAGTGATAAAGCATGCATGTGTAGTTGGTGACAAGTACTGAAGGAAGAAGCACCCAGAGACACCTGAAGGAAGTGTTTTTCCTCTTCCTATCTGTTTCTACTGCTTTTCTAAAAGAAAATGATCGTAACTCAGGAAAAGTGGCTAATTTCACAAGACAGTAAGTGTAGGAAGAAATCCACGGCAACGCTGGAAGTCTCATCCAAAGTAGATACGTCTCTCCATACAGATGGTGCTGTGCTTCAGGGAATAGGGCTGAGAGTTGCCCATCACTCCCTTTAACCCAGAGGTACAGAGGGCTCTTGGCCAGCAAAACAGCGCTCCAAGAGGATTCCCTAACTCGTGGTACCCAACCAAAAAAGACCAACAAAACTGTATGAAAACAAGAAACAAACACACAAACAACAACAAAAAAACAGCATTCAAAAGTTTCTACTGCTCATCTGTAACACACAAAGCAAAAGCAGCTTACCAGTATGTTTTGCTGAGGTACTGAAAATAGTACATATAGCAGCCTGTGGATGGATCTTGAGCATACACAGCCTCCCGCTTTTTAGCATCAGTGATCTCTATGAGATCTCCATGATATTCAACTACAAATTCTCCACGATTAAAATGTTTAGTAGCAATTACTCCTCTCCCTTTGCCATCAATGTAATCAATCTGTTGAGTTGAAAAGAAACAAATCACATGGGAAATGAGAAGGTACTCATGACTGCCAGTAAGCTGTTTACTAGGAAAGGAGTGCATGACATTTGTCATTAAAGTGACATGGCACAGCATCTGAATGTCACAGACAAAGCTGTGGAAGCACAATTTACTGTATTAGAGAAATAGAGCGACTTCAGGATGCAACACAGCTACCATGCATTTTGCATTAGAATGCCTAAGCTTTTCCATTTCAGTGTTACCATTAGCATGCACAGGAAGAAGAGATGACAGGAGTATAGAAAGGTCAATCACACAAACTGAATTAGTTACCCACTAGTACACTTGATTCTTCCTGCCTCTACCTGTGAGCTGTACAACTCCTACAAGGATGTCACTGTCCTACAAGCCACAGTTTGAACTGCACACTGCTGCTTTTTGAGAACCACTGTGCTTTTAAGAGCTTACTGCATGAACAATACACAGTACTCAGGTTAGCATTGCTGTTACCTTCATTCCTTCTTCTTTCCCACTTGTAATTAGTGCATCGATTTTCCTCCTTTCCTCAGTCTGAGGAAGTAACAAGACAAAAAAACAAGACCAAGTTATTTGTTGGTAGCTTTTGTATTTTATTCCATAGCTAACAGGAAATGATTGGCCAATGGCATTCAGTTTTTCCAAGCCATCCCTCTTTCCAGCAAAACTAAGTTGTACAGAGACAGAACAAAGAGACATCCCCCAAGAATGCATTATCATTTAAATTCCATCCTAAAAATAACTGGACCAATAATTCTGTATTTAGAAACATTCCTAACAATAATTCCAGTGAACATTTGCTACTGCATTAAGTACTGGTATTTCATCAGGAAGCACTACCTCCAGTTCAGATTTGCTCTTCCTGGAGCTTCTTCTCACTGGGTAATAATCTGTCACCTTTCGATTTGGTGCTCTTCCTTGTGTTCTAAGGAATAATAAAAGCAGGAAACACGTTTCAAACTACTTCTGAAGTTACACCTCTGAAACAGGTAACTAAAAATATATACATATTTTTAAGCTTATGTTAAATGTTGATCAGCATGAATCCATGTTCTTACCAGTATTCTGCATTCCAAGCCAGAAGCTACATACCCTATTACTAATCCTTTCACCACAAGATTGAGATGCCACTGGAAATCAACTGAAAAATCACATTAAAGTCTGAAGTCCCTACCACGTGCCTTCCCAAAAATGTAAGTCATTAAAGCAGCTTGGCCATGAATTCATTAATGTTAGGTTACATTATTTCATTAACATGAGTAAAGTTATCAACTCAGCCAGCACTCCCCCAGCTACAATAATCTAACATTGTGAATCTGGCAAGACAGACTCCATTTGTCCACAGAACAGTAAGTCTTAGTGGTTCCTAAATTAATTTCTGCCTTGCTTGCTAGTGAAATAGTCATCTGCAAGACTGCAATACTTTGGGTGCTATTTAGCATTTTCAAATATGCCATTTTTGAAGAAAAGGAATCTTCTTTAAAATGTGTCCCCAAAAAAGAGCAAAGCAAGGGAAACATTAATTCCAGGTCTGGCTTATCTATAGCCTCTCTATTTGCCTATCAAGGCAAAATGTAGATAAAGGCCCCCTGGTGCAAAATGGCCTAAAGCAGAAAAGCTTTTACAATTCCAGAAGTCACTTACTTCCTTCTTGGTCCACGCTTTGCTTTAACTGTCTTCTTCTGAGCTGGCTTTGCACTGGCCTCGCCAGCACAGTCTGAGGGCAGGAGCGTCTTCTCAGCTTCTACAGATCCTTGGGTTTTTGGATCAGAAGACAGCACTGAAGTATTGCACCCACTTTCTTTATCTTTCTGGTCTTCTGGTTTCGTA